CACCTTTGGCATCACCTTTCCCAAGAGATTCGATCTTACACAAGAGTCCTCTTTGAGTGATTGATGAGACGTTCATCATAGAGTGCAAGTGTCTTGTCTTGTCAAATATAATGGCGGTTCTGCCAATTAATAAATGTATAGTAGACTAGGTGATAAAAAATGATGCCTAGGATTAGAAAAGTAAACTAACAAGATGAGACCACATGTACTCCCAACCGAGGGCCATGATTCAACTCATATTACTATAAATACTCCCCAATGCACCCATCATGAAACTAATGCAAGATTCAATACTAGAATAATTACTACACATTTTACTCGCTTGCAATACAAACGAGTTTACATACAAATTCAACAAATTGCAATTGGTAATTATTGTACAATTGTTCTTCAAATGTATTGTCAGATTCCAAATGTTGTCGTCCCTGCCTCGAGCCACTCCCACGACCTCTCTATGTCCGTTCCTAACTGCCTACGTGTCTTAGCATGTAGGACTTAGCTTGCGTGTGCGCGGGTGGATCCTACATCTATTGTCCACGTGGCCCCAATCGAAAATGAGGTCAACATCTTCCTCTGTTAAGTTTAAATTCATTTATGGTCCATTCTTCCCAATTGCATTTTTCTGAATTGCTCACGGAGTATGGGTGAACATTGGCAAATTTACTAGGATGTGTGGGATCAACTGACCCCAAGTGACCACATGTATTTCCGCAAATGGGTTGGAGGTTGGTTGGGAGCGAGGGGAGGGGCATTGCCTTTGAATTCATTACAGTAGGAATTAGAATAACAGTATATATACACTTTTCAATGTACATGAAGTCTTATGCCCCCTCACATAGAGGGGGTGTAAAGAATTGTGTACGCCGAAAATATACATGTAACATGACCCCGGGAATTATTCAACTTTGGCAATGTGACAGAAGATTTATGAAAATAAATGTTATCAAACGTGTTAAAATGTGATTATTCGTGTGATTTTAGGCTCACGTTATCAATGAACTAACATTGCATTTTATATTTTAATTTTCTTTCATCATTTATCAAGAACTGATTTGATTTGAGTTTCCATAACAATACGTCATGACTCATATTGAAGAAAAATCTCTTAAAAATCTTCGTTCATTTGATTTAGGGTGTCTAAACTCTGTCCGTTCCAAACTTTGTGCGATACAATGTAATGTGTGCAGAGTCATGACCAAGAATAAAATTTTTAGTGCCAGCCAGCTCATGTGGGGTAGCCATTTTATAAGGTGGGCCTTGACATGATATTTTTTTGCCATGTAATAATTTACTCAATGCTCTTTACATCTCTACTTTAAGAAAACTCCCAAATTCTCCCCCTTTCCCAAGGCCTCAAAAGTAAAATTTTCGACAGATAACACGGCCCATGAGGTATACAAACCAATGTTCGTCCCCACTTTGTCCAAAAGAAAACCCGAATTCTCCCTTCCCAAGTCCTCCACATCCGAATATTCAGCTAATATTACAGCCCATATCGACTACAAAAGAATGTTGGTCCCAATTAAGCTAACTTTAGTTATAATGCTCTACGTATTTAATGCTACTCAATGACTTGCTGTGATACTAGAATTATAATGGCATTAATAAATAAATGAAAAGACTGTTCATCACTATATCAGTAAATGCAGGGAATTCTAGATTTTGCATTGAGAATCATGCTATCAGTCTAAGTGACACTACATGATAGACTCAATTAAAAGTAGAATTATATGACTCATTTAATCATTCCAAGAATTTGTCTTTCATTTCCTAGAAACCAAAATTCATTTTGCCAGTACAAATGGGTTCACTGCAGATTGTGTCACAGTAGTTCAAATCCAACAAAAATGATGAGTTCTTAGAATTCGGTAGTTTCTACTAATTTCAACATCTGTACTTCTTTGACTTCCTCTCTTTTTTGGATTCAATGCTACATGCAATGAAGAGGTGAATAAAGTTCTAAGAGATCAGAACAGATGATGAGAGATTGGGAAGTTTCCTACACATTTTTTGCATCCGTGTCTTCTGCTTGACTGATATAGCGTGATACGTATCCGCAATGGGAGTAGCCATGTGTAACATTTGCGTAATGCATTTGCTTACTCAACTACCATATAAAGGGAAGCTAGCATTGAGTTTTCTTCATGAGCTTTCTGTACATAAAATCAGTACAAGTATTTCAAGAACACTGATTGTACCAGAATGAGTTTCGATTCTGCGATCATGAGGCGATTCTTAGTGGTGTTCTCGTTAGTTATGATGGTGACGTTCATGCCTAAGAGTGATGCAAATTGTGCTTTCCAGGCAGGACCAGGCTATCTTCAATTTCGGGGACTCGAATTCTGATACTGGTGCTTTCTATTCAGCTTTTCTTTCTCAGCCATCCCTTATGGCATGACTTATTTCAAAAGGCCGACTGGTCGAGCCACAGATGGGAGGCTCTACGTAGATTTTCTCGGTGAGTTTCAACTATTTCACAATTTTCATGTCAGTACCTTTGCTCTTCTGATTTATTAAAGATACTAATAACATATACTTTTCACTTTGTATGCAGCGCAAGCTTTGGGATTGCCATTTATAAGCCCTTATTTACAATCCATTGGATCTGATTATAGGCATGGTGCAAACTTTGCTACTTCGGCCTCCACAGTATTCCAGCCAACTACTTCCTTATTTGACAGCGGAGTTAGCCCTTTCTAATTAGGTGTTCAGCTCAACCAAATGAAGCTTTTCAAAGCCAAAGTCGATGAATCTGGGGGATAGCATGTTTCTATACGATTTTAAAATGTTTGGTATCGAGGATTTGATAATATTAGACAATCATCCTTATGTCCAATCTTATCCAATACTGCATACCAAACATAAATTTCAAGTCATGGTACTAACGAGGTATTCACATTGATGGTTTACTTTGATTATCAGGGCAAGGCAATCTTCCTTCATCTGATATATTTGGCAAGGCGCTTTACACGATCAACATCGGCCAGAATGACATCACCGGCGACCTAGGCTCAGCCGGTCCAGGTGGGGTGAAGTAGAATGCGCCTCAAGTCATTTCCCAAATCATGAGCACCATCAAGGTACGAACACCATCACATTCATAAACTTCAAGTCATGGTACTAACGAGGTATTCACGTTAATGGTTTACTTTATCAGGACAAGGCAATTTTCCTTCGTCTGATATATTGGCAAGGCACTTTACACGATCAACATTGGCCAGAACGACATCACCGCCAACCTAGGTTCAGCCGGTCCAGGTGGGATGAAGTAGAATGTGCCTCAAGTCATTTCCCAAATCACGAGCACCATCAAGGTACGAACACTATCACATTCACGCAGTCTTATTAGTTCAAAACGGTGTTACATTTTTTTTTTTTTTTTAAAGCAACCACTTGCCACTTCTTTATCCAAATGGAAATACACTGGTTAGGCGGACGAACATTTCTTGTGATTAATCTTGCTCCAATAGGCTGTTACCCGAGGTTCTTGGCTGAGCAGTCGAACAATTTATACCTAGATGAATCTGGATGCAAGATTTCTTACAACAATGCAGTGAATGAGTATAACAATATGTTGAAAGATGCACTTCAACAAACCAGAAAAGACCTTTCGGGTGCCAATGTGATATACGTGAACACTAACGCTGCGTTGCTCAATCTTTACCAGAATCCAAAATCCCATGGTAAGCTGATCATTAAGCAGAAATTTCCAGATCAACCATTACTTTATGTTTAGAATTAAACAAACGAATATAAGGGGGACTTTCTTTTCTAGGACTTGCTTTCTGTTACTTTGAAAATCATAATAATTAACTTTTTCTCGAGTTGAACATATGTTACTTACCTTGATATAGTAAGTCAAGGATTACTTTCAAAATTTTTAACTTCAAAAAATAGCCAAACATGTTTGGAATACGAAAGATACTTTCTGTTTAAGCTTAGCCAAAGATTCTTTCAAAGAGAAAGAAAGTTATAGCATTGCATATAACTATCAAAAACGAAAATTTACACTAATTACACAATCAAACTAATACAGAATAATCTCAGACTGTCGAGAAAATATCAACAGTTCGATTTCCTTTATCCCGCGTTCTGATGTCCTAATATTTTGCAGGGATGCAGCATGGAATCACAGCCTGCTGTGGACAAGGAGGTGGTCCCTACAATTTCAACCCTCAAGTTTTCTGCGGTTCGAGCAAGGAGATCAATGGACAGACAGTTAGAGCCACTGCCTGCAGTGATCCTCAAAATTATGTAAGCTGGGATGGCATACATTTGACAGAAGCTGCTAACAAGCTAATGACATATGCCATTCTTAGTGGCTCGTATAATGATCCTCCGTTTTCGCTACATCAGTATTGTGATATTCAACCAATTGGTTGAAGAAATTATACTTAAAGACTCTTACATGATCTGTGATGATCTTTGCTTTGATACATGAAATGAATAAAATTTGAACCCTTTGCCCGTTGATTTTAATTTTGCGAATAGTATTTGGGATTATGCTTCCACACAAACAAATGAATCATGCTTGGTGTACAGAATATTTTGCCCACTTCCTTAACAGAATGCCACGTGACATTCTATCACTGGACAGCTTTAAAAAGTCAATTTTTGCACCCAATCATTTGCTACTAACACGACATTTGTCAAGTAGGTTTATTATTCTCGGTGTAACTTTAGAACACAGATCATTGATCTATGAATGTAATTCGTATAAGTATTTGTAACAATATGGATATCACTGGAAATAAATGGTTCAGATAGAATAGAAATTTTGTTAGATGCTAGTACTTGGGATCTTATGGATGAAGACATGGTCTTTCGAGATTTCATTGAATTATTAATATTGCAACATTCGAATCAAAGAAACATAGGATAATCGAGGCTGATCAAATGGACACGATCCAGATAAATAGCATTCCTGTAGCATTTCAGTGTGTGAATTTTCAGATTATACTTCGGGTATTATAAAATCAATTTTAAGTACAAACATATGATTCATGGGGAAATAAAAAAATAGATCGAACCAAGTATTCAAGGTTAAAAATGACATTATAAGTAACATATTTAAATAGAAAATAGATAGTCAGAACTGCATATATATATATATATAGGGGTTTGAACCCTGCTCGAAAATAACAAAGACGATCGCTCTATGGAGCAATTTCCAGCCTTGGTTCGAAGCAAAAACCAGTAAAAAGATGAAGAGGGAACCTCTTTGACACTGGGCATTTCTGTGACCACTTCCATTCCCTCAGGTTAACATCGAAAACAAGAAGAGTGGGTCCTCCATAGCTCTGTATGTATATGAGATCATCTGTACCGCTGCTTGCGAAAACCTCATCGATCTCCCCAAAACCTTGAAAAAAACTATGAGGCATTCGGGCTATCTCTTGCCACTCCTTCCCGTTCAGACTCCAAATCCTGATTCCCTTAATTATGTCAGGTCGATCCTGTTTCCCGATTCCTCCTACCATTAGAAGCTTTTCCTTCAGGTTCATCAGACGACCACATGTAAGAGAACATGGCACCGGGATGAAACTTCTCATCAATAAACTGTGGGACAATTGGCTTGTAAGGTTATACGCGATAAGTCCGTGGCGATTCTCACTGCCACCACCACCAGTTGAGTAAATCAAGAAGTACAAGACGTCATCACAAATCACGCTCTCATCACCAGCTCGCCATCCTGTTAAAACCTCCGTCAAAGTGGTCACCCAAGACATTGTTTCTGAATTATACACATGGATTGAGAGATCCCACTGGAAAAAGTCGCCTGGAACTTGCTTAGATTTTATGATGGAGGCATTGTAACTGCGAGATACTCTGTTCACAGAGATTGCCAGTGCGCTGTAATCGGAAAATTTAGGACCCGGAGGCTCATCGAGCCCCTTGAAGCATTTTGCTATGGGGTTACAGACATACAGCCTGCTCCTGCTATCACTGTCCATGAAACAAACTAAGCCACATGACGAAGCAATAAACCAATTGGATCTCTCAATGCAGGGAAGGTCAATCCCATGCCATTTTCGAAGGATGGGATCATATGCATAACCAACGGGTTCATCAGAGCTAGTGAACATGAAGTACCAAGGCTTCTGTGATGGGAGACAAGAAAAATTCCTCAGGAATCTTTTCGAAGATACTATCTCATGCCATCTTTTACATACACAGCCAGCCCTAAATATGCTAGCAACTGGAAGACAGGTTAATATTCGCTCCAAGAGGTCATCAGGTAATATTAAATCCACAGAAACTGCAGCAGCAATTTCTTTGCTATTTTCATCTTTGAGCTCTAAGAATGGGTCGAACTCTACACTGTCATTTTCAATATTATCAAAGCAATGACTGACCCATGAAGTTTCTGCTTCCATCATTAAGAAAATTTGTAAAAACCTGGAGCCAAATAATCAAATACAAATTACGAGGAAGGAATAAAAATAGTTCTTCGCCTTGATAGACTCAAAAGGAATTAATCATGTAAACTTTACTAAATTCTGTAGAAGTACGGGGAAACTTGCTAGGGAAACTATAATTCCTGGATGATAAATTGTGAAACATAAGAAATCAAGGGTAGATGCTGCAAAGATCAACTTCAACACGGAAAAGAAGATAAAAATAAGTATACAAATTTCAGTCGAGTGAGATCATATATACACTGATCATTTATAGAGCCGCGATTCTTCCAAGCTAATTGAGAAAATAATTACTGTGGCTGATCCACAGTTTATAGTTAAAAGGAGCAACAAAAAGTAAATATTTGTTGCAAAATTTTTAGGGGGACCAAAATCAATTTTTTCTAGAGAAGATTAAAAATTTGTTCTTCAAGTCTTTTTAAGGGAACATTCCCATCCTTCCTCTCATCGTCACCTCTAACTCCATAGATTCGAAAGGCAAATCATTAAGAAGGCGTAATGCATAATGAAACAAATCAAAACCCAGAAAGTATACCCACCTAACATAAACTAAACACAAAAGATTCCAAAAAGATCAAAAGATGAATAAATATTGGTACCTAAAGTGAAGATCAACTCTTCAAATATACATCCATTATATGCTATTAGATAATCCGAGAACTCGAAGACAAAATTCAAGCTGCAGACTTTACTATGTATTTCTCGGATTTCAGAAGATAATATGCGATTTAGACTAAGGAGCAACCACATGTTCAAGCAATGCCTTTTGTGATTTCAAAAGGATGCCTCTAAGTGCAGATCAAATCCAAAAGAGGAGATACAAACACTAATTTCATTCCACAAAATAAGTACGTAACACCCAAAAAGAATATAAGAAATGGAACGCTAAAACATCATTCACGCCATTTATGTACACATAAATGAAATTGGATTAGATCCTATAGTAAGTAACCCATTTTTGTTTAAATTTTATGTTTTGACATGGACCAACAAAATAAAATGCATTTTCAAAGAAAATGAAACTGATAATTAGCGTTAGGTAAGAAAATTACACAAAATAGAGCTGTCGATAAATAATCAAAAACCCTGCAGCAAAGTTTCAAGAAAAACAAGAAAACCAAAAATTATAGATCTCAAACACTCCACAAATCAAACTTCCTAAAAAAAAAACGCGGACTTTCCCGAAGAGAAGCAAATGATTATTGTACCTTTGATAGCTCAAAACGCCTCGTTTGGTATCAAAGAACAAATGGGTCTTCTTGGATTGCTCAAAACATCGAGAAAACGGTACAAAGATATCAATGAAAGCTAAAAGGCCGCTTCTAATTCTTGAAAAACAAAACATTCAAGCACACAGAGATACGCTATGTGCCTAAAAATAATAACTAATAATCTTGGATAGACACATAATGACCCAGTTTGGAATTTGCTTTATATATTTATTCTCTTCTACCAATGCAAAGGAGAAAGAGAGAGATTGGGAATTTTTCCTAATTTTGTTTGCCTTGTAAGTTCTAATATGTAGCAAAAATCGACAGGCAGAGAGGAATGAACGAAAAGTGCAGGTTTTCACTAGGGATTTTGATTTATTTGATTTGGACAAAAGAGAGCTGAGGTGTTCTTCCACAAATTATTCATTATTTTTTCTTTTTATCAACAAATTTGATGTGCTTTTGTGTGCGAGTGGGGTGAGGTGGAGACAATGTATTCGAGCATCGACTTTTAAAAAAATATAATCGTGGAGAGTCAAAGAGTTCGATTAGAATTGGATTGAAACTATTTATCGGCTCCCATTTGAGCCACATTATTATAAAAATGAGAATTAAAAATATAACCGTTATAGATTCCACACAAGAGATAAAAAGTCAAATATTGTGACTTGATGTGATGGATAACGATCATATTTTTTATTTTAATGAGAAAATAATGAAACTCGAACAGGGCCCTGATAAGAAGAGGTGAAGTGGTTTGTTCTTGACTTATTTTAAACGATATTTATTTTTATGATATTTTATCTTAATCTGATCGCATTAAAATTTTTATATCAAAACAATAGAATCATCTTTTAAAAATATTTCCAAAATGGGGGATCGAGCATCAATTCGAAAATGATATTTGATCAAGTGTCAAAAAGTTGAACGAATGGTAAAACTAGTTTTAGAAAAATAAAATAGTCTTAAACAATTTTCATTTAACGTTTATCGAGACCAATTTAAAAAAATTTCAATTGTCCAATGCATACCAACCAATTTGAGAAATTTTTCGACTCCCCAATCCAATTTCTATACATTTTCAATTTGATGGGATTTCGTGTGTGTGTGTGTGTGTGTGCGCGTAGAGTTGGTGTGGTGCGATAACAAGAAAAGAAAAACATGGGAATTTCGGCACAATCAAAGGGGGAAAATAATGCCATCAAACTCATCAAAGCACTTTCATATTTCTTATATCCTTTTGCTTTTTCTGTGTTTCCCATTGGTTCTTTTATTTTTTCTACTACCTTCTTTCGCTTTTTCCTTTTATTTTCTGGATTTTTTTTCTAATTTTTCTTTTTGCAAAATCAGATTTTCATGGTATTTTTATAAAATAATTGAAAAAAAATTCATTTTTCTACTTTTCAATTTAAAAATATGTTTGAGTCATATTATTTTCAAAAAAATACATTCTTCAATAATGATTTGACATCATTTCAACCATATATTCTTCAATAAAATAAGGAAGATGCTACATGTACTAACACTTTTGTACAAACTCTTTTACTTACATTCACAATGGGAAAGTAGGGTCTACATGTCGGAATTATTTAATCCATGTGGGGACCGCATGCATGTGAAAGTGAGTAGAAGTTTTTGTCAACCAAAGTTTGTACAAATATCTTAATCCATAAAATAATATTACTCGTAAATCTAAAATTTTTCCTTATTTTTTAACCACACATTTCTCATTGATTGGACATGTATAGTGTATTTTTTCCTAGAATGTGGCTCAAACATGAGCTAAGTGTTCAATTCTAGAAGAATTTACTTGTTTATATTTTCTTTTATTAGCCACCCTGTGCATTTTTAAATTTTTTTTTCCAATTATTCAGTTTTTTGAGGAATTTTTTGGGCTAGGTTACAATAGTCTTGATAACTTCTCAAGTCAAGCGATATTTTTCAATTAATACGGGAAGCATTTACTTATTATTCTAAAGTTTTAAGAATAATTACCATCTTTTGTTGTTTTTTAAAATCATGATGCATTGAATTGCAAGCATGAAACTGAAAGTATATTTTAGACAATTCGGTTATCTGGAACTTATTTTTATGAAAATTATTAATTAAATGTGTTTCTTTGATTTAATTTTCAATCTTGAAAAAACAATACTTATTTATTTTTTATTAGTAAGTAGATGAGAAAAGGGAGATAGATGATAGAGAGTGAATTATTTGAAAAAATAAAAAAATCACTTTTCAATAAAGAAAACGTTATCTTTGTGTTTTAAGGAAAATATGATCAAATGAACAAAAGTTGAGAAACACTTTCTATGAAAAATTGATTCACCTTAAAGGTAAAAATTTGGGTGAAAAGATAATATTTTTCATAAAAAAAAATAAAGTCAATTAAACATATTCTTAGTTCTTGTTTGAGCCACATTATTTTCATAAGAATACAATTTTGAATGGTGTATTGATGAAAAATGCGTTGTTAAAGAATAAGAAAAATTTTTAAATTTGCGTGTAATATTATTTTATTAAAAAATATGTAGTTGAAATGATGTTAAATAACTGTTTAAGAATATACATTTTTGAAAGAATATGGTGTAACTTAGAATAAGATATTTTACTAGCACTTTTTACATTTTTTTAATTAATTATTTATTTACTTATTTATTTATTATTATTATTATTATTTTCTCTACACTTTTTGGAAAGTGTGGCGCACATACCTTTTATTTATTTATTATTATTTTCCCCAACAGACATCATACGAAAGAAAACTTCATTTCAACGCCCCTAAGCTTTTTCCAATTTTCATTTTGGTATATATACTTTACCCCATGAACAAGGTTGGCCCATATTCCACCACAAAGGCAAATATTCTTTTCCGCATGGAATAAACTTTTTGGGATCCGTCCATTAGACATGCTTTACCTAACTTCGACCTCTTCCAAATATTACATCGAATCTTTTTGACGCATAATTTAGAATCTAATTTTTGTGATTTAATTTAACTCAAATACATTATTGAAACTCAAAAACTTGAGTCGAAATGAAATATCAAGATGAAATAATTCATGATATCAAATACACATTTGAAACTTTGTAGGATCAAAACCTTTAGCGGTCTTATTAATGATTGCATTTCTTCATCCATTAACTTGTCTTTAATTGGATTAATGCCTTTTCAAATAAAAATCTATTAACTCTTCAGTTGGACAAGTGACTTGGGACAAAATTCCTTTATTTAAACGATTGTTTACTATTTACATACAACTTTTGTGCTTGTCTTGGATTTTCACATTCAAATTGGTTAGGTAACACTCAAGATTGTCACCATCAAATCTTATCTGCAATTTCGAAGAAAAGAACAAATGTAGCATTGTTCGACCAAAAGAGCATGAACAACAATTAGGGCCCGTATGATAGAATTTATTTGGAAATAATGAGTTATGAAATTGTATTTTTTAGGAAATGTGGTTAAAGTATGAAAACTTTATTGGTTTATGTGTAGAATATTTTATTGTTTAAATAGGTGGTGGAGAATGATCTTGTAACAAACAATTTAAATTTTTAAAGAATGACAAACTAGGGCTTAATAAACTTGTACTATCGATGTTTACAAAAGATGGACCAGGAAATAACCCAGGAAAGAAAATAAAGGATTAAGGATTAAAAGTTGAATTGGATTAAAACAGTGGTTAAAAGAGATAAATAAATAAATAATTTTTGTTCTTTCAAAAAATAAAATTTGGAAATGCTAAAACTGGTAGTTTTTCTATGGTTGGGAATTTGATTTTCAATTTTTACGATCGATCGACCAGCCCATTCAATTTGATTCTTACAACATTGTTGACTTATTTAGGTCATAATTGAACAATTTGTATAATTCAAAATGTAGTTTTTAGAATAACCTTTCATAATCAATCAAACCAAGTGCCATCTAAATCATTGTTGCATAGCTCACAAGGCAATTATAAAGGAGAACAAACAATTAGTTGTTTCTTGTTCCATCAGGCTTTAACTAGAAAAAGTAATTTATATTAATATGATAAGATGCCACTTTCTCCTATAATATCCAAAATATTACATATTTTCCTTTTTAATCTTTAATTTAAGCAATTAGTTGTTGAAGGTTGTTTTCTCTTGACCTTTTCGTAGATGTACTAGATGTTTATTTATTTATTTTCAGACAAACCATGCTAGGCCTATCCACCTTTTCACATCTCTATACGGTAACAAGACTTGAAATTTCTTTCATTTTCTCTTATAATTTTTGAAATATTTGAATTTTTTTCTCTTCAATTTTAATTTAATCGAATCCTTCTTGAAGGATTTGAGCCTCTTGATCTTTTCTGTGGATCTTTAAACTTTTTTGGATGGCATTGCTGAATGTATGCAAAGATTGGCTGAGCAACCCAGTTTGCACCTTTAGATGACGATGAGAACTTAAAATTAGAACCTTTAATATTTCGATCAATCACCTCACAATAAAAATTCATTAGAGATGAATTAGTTCTTCCCATGGAGGTTACATGGTCTAATGAAACTCTATTGACCAAATCTTACAATTGCATTTTCAATTCCTTCAACTATGCTATAACAATTTTGGAAGGTGCCTAGGAATCATCCCTGGAATCAAGTCGATGGTGAACTCAATCTCCTTGTTTGGGGATAATCATGGGAGGTTTTTAAGAAAGGCATTAGGAAAATCTCTTACAATTGATATATTTTCGAGTTTTAGGTTAGTGACTTATGTATGAATCACATGGGGCAAATATGCATGATAGCCTTTTTAAACAACTTTCTAGTATCAAATGTAGATATTATAAAAAATGGCAAGAATCTATGTTCTCCATTAAGAATAAGATCAAACTCTCATGGCTTTCTAAAGTCAATTTCTTTGGCAAATGGTCAACTAAAGCACAATTTGCAACTAAGATATTCAAGCTCAAAATAATATCAAAGTCAAGGAAAATAACTCAAGAAATCCTAACTACATAAAGTAAAGTTACGATAATTGAAAGATCCCACAAGCAAGTTCATAAAACTCGATTTATTTTGATTTTTCCTGATGATTTAGTATTGCGTTCCATATATCCAGGCTTTGATACTACTGAAATGTTCATAAACAAACAAACGGGCAATTAATCTTAGAAAACCAAGTGCAAAAACAAAAATTTAAAGAAATATTGGGTCTAATCCCTAGAATTTCAGTGACAATTTTTAACGCATAATCCCCTATTGAACATCCATGAAAGTGAATTAATGCTCATTTGCACTATAACTGTTAAAACAACAATTAAGGCTACAAAATGTTCGATACATTTTCCATTGACGGTTGCATAATTTGAGAATTTTTCGACTCTCCAATCCAATTTTCTATACATTTTCATTTGATGGGATTTCGTCTGTGTGGAGAGGTGGTGTGGTGGGAGAACAAGAAAAGAAAAT